GATCTTGCTTTAATCGGCCGGATCAGTCTCGATCTTGCTTTAATCGGCCGTATCAGTCCCGATCTTGCTTTATAACTTAACTAGTACTTAACGAAAAGTAACTTAATTATAGTGTTTTGGAAAGCTCTCGAGATGAGCTGTAAGAATGTGCAATGAGAAATAAGGGGTTCCATTTAAAAAATTAAAGGTGACCTTCACGTGACCTTCAGAGGACTATCCAAGGCCAAATCGATGGCACCATCTTATGTCTCCCTTCGAGTCAGACAATTTTTGTCTGAAACATTTTTGTCTACTAGGTTTAGTTTTCAAGATATTTGGCTGGATCTTTTAAAACGGAACATCCTGCATAACCCAATTAATGTGAAAAAATGAACAAATTTCAAGTTTAAGGTTAATTTAGCAAGGTTCCAAGCGTTCAAATGAGTCGTTATTTACTTCAAATTATAAATCTATTCATCCAGAACAAGATCCAGTTGGAATTTTTCCAAGACCTTCTACAAGGCATATAAAAGTTGCATTATCTGGATCAGTGCTCAGCATTTCGGGCCGATTCTGACAAGCGACTCCTATTACCGCCCGAGACTCAGCAACCGAGGGTTCACATGACTCTCTGACTCAGGAGCGTCTCTGTAGCTTAAACGTGCGTAGGTCGTACCTTACATTATTAAAAAATATACCTCTGTGAAGCTGGCCCCACTTTTTTCAAAAATTGAAAAAATAAGTAGAGTTCTGGTTGCCCCCCCCCCCCCCCCCCCAAGAGTTCTAGAGTTCCCTATCAATTTTAGAAATAGTTCCGTCGATTAAAGGGGTGAAAACACCATTTGAAACATCAGGGGGGCCAACTTCACGATTTCGAAATTTTGAAAGGCTATAACTTCTTTACCATTCATTTTAGAACTTTCATCCATATAGAACAATCGATGGAACTCTTTGGGGGGCAAACAGAACTCTCAAGAAAATAATGGATTTCGAAAAAAAAAATTTTTCAAAAAAAATTAATTTTTTTGTTTTCGATCTCAGCTGTTTCATTATTAAGGATTATCGTTAGAACTCTTTCAAAAACATATTCAAAAACACCCACAATATTGTTGGGGGAATTATATATGAAGTTACCTGCGTGGACTTAGAAAAATTTCACGAATTAAAACTTCAAATGCCCAGAACTTTTTAGATATCGGTTTCAGCGAATCAGTTGTTAAGGATAATCGTTAGAACTCTTTGGGGTGCAAACAGAACTCTCAAAAAAATAATGGATTTCCAAAAAAAATTTCCAAAAAAATTAATTATTGAAAAAAAAACTTTTTTTTAGATTTTCGGCATCTTGTAATGAATTCTGGCAGCCCCCCAAAGAGTTCAAAAGAACGGGCGGGAATACATTTTGCACAATCTTTTGGAGATGAAAAAGCTATCGGCGCGATGGGTGTCGCGTTTGCTGACCGTCGACCAAAAACAGCAGCGCGTTGATGATTCAACGGCCGGTTTGGCGTTGTTGCAACGTAATCGAGCGGACTTTATTCGACGTTTTGTGACGATGGATGAAACGTGGGTCCATTACCATACGCTTGAGTCCAATAAACAGTCTGGAGAGTGGCTGGAAAGCCACGAAAGCCGACCAAAGCGGCCAAAAGACCAACGCTCGGGAAGATTATGGTCTCCGTTTTTTGGGATGCGCATGGCATAATCTTCATCGA